CAATCGTTCGATGGGCTGAATTGTACAAAACGCATGATCGCACCGGCTAGTCTGGTGCGCGTTGCCGTTTATTAGGATTGGGCTGCTTTCGACTAATGTTGCGTCTTGTAGAAGAGAAAAACTTGGAGTGGGTTTCGTCTTTTAATTCGATCAGAAATTGTCTGGACACTCTCTCTAGTTATTTCTTCCCACATTCATAGCAAACCGCGCTAAGAACCAAGAATTCCTAATGTTCTTCCTGATGGGAGATTGTTTGGTTTACAAATTTTTTTTTAGGTAAGGATATCCCATGCGCTGTGTTGTATGTCGGATAATTTTCCTTGTATGCACTTTTGCATCACTGTATTTACGAAAAATATCGCATAACAGATTTTTTGTTGTGTTACATAAAGAATCCATTACGGTTTTTGTTCGATGATGGCGTCACTTATGTAAAGTAGGCCTGTTGAAATGCCCGTTGTAGCTGACACGTTAGGCATGATGGCGAGTTCGTACTTGGTGACGAACACAGTCGTCCTGCCGTCCTTCCGTAATAACAAAATAATACACGAGGAGGAAAATGAAGAAAGCGAGAGGGTAGAACACACGGCAAAAGTTATCCAGATATCTGAAATGTCATGACGTATTTCGTTATTGCGGGTTTTTGAGAAAACTAGAAAGAAAAGCGTGTGAAAGCAGCACTAACCTTCCGCGTTTATGATACTGCTCTGCATTTTCAAGCATCAGCTCGCGCGACTGCTCTGTTAACTCACCTTTCTTTCCTGTTGCCCACTTTCTCTGGAAAGTGAAATGATATGGCGTTCAGTATTCAGAAAAGTATAGCACTTCTCTGTATTAGAAATATTCGCAAGGAGCATTGCACAAACTGACCAGTTGATTGGCGCGCCGGTCATGCGCAATGACGAGAAGAGTTTGCAGAAGTGTGACGAATACAAAGCCAGTAATAAAGCCAAACCACAGGTCGATCGCCTAAAAACGAATGATGAGCTGTGAAGTGCACTTTGGTGGCAAGAAAAAAGTCATGCAAAATCTGGAATTTGTAGGATATTAGGCAGAACAGTAAACAACCTTCATATAGGAAACACTGGGGAGATGCTCACGAGCACCTGCGGATTCCGTCGACAGTGTTAAAAGCACAGTGATTGCAACACCTATGCGGCCTTCCATGAACTCTTCTGGGAGCCACACGCCCACCTGCAAGCGCTAAATCCTGCATGGAAAAGTTGGGCAAGGCTTATTTCACAACCAGTTGAGCGATAGAGCGTTACCCATGAGAACATAAGTGCCAGCGAAGTTGGTATATAAGTTTGTGCAATGTGGTAGCCAACGTCTCGCTTCAAGCGAAAAACTGCTCTTAGACACGAAAAATCTCCTGGAATCTTTAGAAGATATCATGAAAAGCTTCAAAACAAAACATACATTTGCCATTGAACATATGTACGCTGTGTTGGCTAGAAATTGAGGCAGCTGCTTGCTCTTCCTCACCTTTAGGAAAGCCCAGATAGTCGAAAGAGGATTGACAAGCTACTGGGCTGAACATGGCTCGCTGCTGATAAACGCAAAACTGGGTAACAAGGCGGAACTTCAGCAAAGGGCGCCCAAATCGCAATAGAAAGGCTGGAAGAATGAACCGAGGGACCATCTGATTACGTTGGTAGAGAAATAG